GTAAATGATCTTGAGTTTGGACATTAGTAATCTCACAAATGTGTTCTCTGACTCTCCTTCTTGATGCTTTAACAAAGGTATTTATGTCTATTCATCAGGATAACCATATCTTTGGGAAAGGCAATGATCTATAACTTCAGAGAAAGTGGAGAGGGAGCAAGGCCCACTGCTGATTTCCAGTTTGTGAAACTCAGATAGACTTGCCTTACAAGCAGACTTTTTGGTGGGTGGGATCACTTTAGCCCCTCACTGCAGCCCTCCCAGAAGCTGGGAGCAGACTTTTGACCTCTGCAGAAACAGCTATCTTGCCAGCTTTTGTGGAGCCTGAGTGCAATCTTACCCAACCAACCCCACCCAGCTACACTTCCCAACCTGCTGTGGCAGAGAATAAGAACCTGCCTGGAAGTTCCAGGCCCCATATACACCTGGGGCATTCAAGTATTTCTCCTGAGGGGCTAGAGCCAGTCACAGGACCAAAAAACAACATTGCAGTTTATTCCTTCCAGCAGGTACCTCCTACTGTCAGGGAAGTCCATTTGCATGACCTTACAGCATTTACTGAATCAAATTTACAAACTGTGTGAGGCTTCAAGAATTGGCCTTTTGGGGAGTGTGTACCCTCCCATACAGAAAAACTGTACTACTGGATAAGGGCATAAAGAACTAGCCGAGGTCTTAGCGTACAAGAGTTTAGCCCCCTCCCCATAAACAGCTCTTCCAGTTTGGAGAACTTGTCCCAAACCTCCTACCAGTGGCTCCCACTAGTGGCTGGAAAAGCAATGTTTGAGGTCCACCAAAGTTTTGCAAAGTCTTTCAGGCTACCATAACCTAGCCACAAACTGCCTTGCTCTTCCCCCTATCACAGTGGGTGATAGAGATCAAGAAATCCCTGGGAATTACAGGGTCCCTCCTAAAGCTTGGGGCACTCAAGTACTCCACTGGGGATCAGAGTCTACCAAACACACAAAATAACATTTCAGCAGCTGTCTCTATCACACAAACATCAACCAATGATAGGGAGAACAACAATATAGCATATCATAGCATCTTCCAACTCAAGCAAACAGGGTGTGGCTGATTCATACTCAAAAGTACCACCCACCATCACCAAATTAAGCTGGGAACCTAACTCACTACACACTGTTGGGAAGGAGTAAAGACAGCAGGTCAGAGGTATCTGAAAGGTGTACCAAACCTGCTAGAACACCCCATAGGCAACTCAGGACCAGCATTCATCTCCCTGGCATGCCCATAAGCCAGGGTCTCAACCAATAGGCCAAATGAGAAGGAAGAAGGGGAAAACTCAGAAACATGAAAAATCAGAGCAAAAGGAACCCCAAAGAAAAAAAATAGCTCTTACCAATGGACACCAATCAAAATGAAAAGATTGAAATGACAGATGAAGAATTCCAAATATGGATTATAAGGAAGCTTAAGGATATACAAGAGAAAATGAAACCCAACACAAGAAAACCACAAAAACAATGCAGGAAATGAACAAAAAATTGACTAAGAAAAGTGAATTATTTAAAAAAAATCAAAGAGAACTTCTAGAAATAAAAACACAGTCAAGGAATTACAAAACACAGTGGAAAGCCTTAACAATAGGCTAGATTAGGCAGAAGAAAGAATTCAGAGCTTGAAGACAATACCTTCAAGTTAAACAAGTCACTCAAAGAGAAAGATCTGAGAAACAAGAGGAACAAACAAAATCTACAAGAAATATGGGATTACGGAAAGACACCATAAGAATCACAACCATCCCCGAAGAAGAAGATACACAAGGGTAGGAAAATCTATTTGAGGGAATAATTGAGGAAAATTTCCCTGACTTTGCTACAAATCTAGATATCCAGGTGCAAGAAACTCAAATGACTCCTTGGAGATTCATCATGAAGAGGCAATCACCATGACACAAAGGCATCAGGCTGGACAAAGTAAACATGGAAGAGGCACTTCTAAGAGCCATAAGGCAAAAGTAGTAGGTAACTTACAAAAGAATACACATCAGACTAACTGCAGACTTCTCAACTGAGACCTTATGGCCAGAAGAGACAGAGTCCCAATTCTCGGTCCTCTCAAACAGAATAAGGGCCAGCCTAGAATTTAGTATCCTGAAAAACTAAATTTCCTCTATAAGGAAGAAATAAAGACATTCTCAGACAAGCAAACACTGAGGGAATTTGTCAAGACAAGACCTGTCCTGCAGGAAGTACTCAGAACCACATTATACTACATTATACACAGATCAGCACAATAGACATCTACCAGTGTAAAATCACCCAAAAGCTAAAGATCAGAGCCCAGATAACACAATGGCTCAAGAGGTAAAACAAAGCAATAAAGTTCTACTCAGCAGGATGAACAGAAATCAACCCCACTTATCAATTCTTTCAATAAATGTGATGACTTGAATGCACCACTAACGAGATATAGGATGGTTGACTGGATAAGAAAAAAAAAATACAAGCCAAGTATCTGCTGTCTCCAGGCAACATATATAACCCACAATGACTCATTCGGACTCAAGGTGAAGGGATGGAGAAAAATATTTCATGCAAATGGAAACCAAAAGAAAGCTGGATTAGCCATTCTCATATCAGATAACATAGACTTCAAATCAGCAAAAGTAAAGAAAGACATATAATGGTGAAGGGAACAATTCAACAAGAAGACATCACAATCCCAAATATTTATGCATCTAACACAGGTGCACCCAGATTGATAAGCAAATCCTACTTGATCTAAAAAAAATGATAAACAGTAGCATTATAATAGCCAGGGACTTCAACACTCCACTGACAGAATGGGACAGATCTTCCAAGCAGAAAATAAGCAAAGAAACAATAGACTTAAACAGAACACTAGAACAAATGGGCCTAATAGACACTTACAGCACATTCTACCCCAAAACCACTGAATAACATTTTTCTCATCAGTTCATGGAATATTCTCTAAGAATGGCAGATGGAGGGGAGAGGAGGGAATGGGTAAATTCACACCTAATGGGTAAAATGCACAATATCTGAGTGATGGACACACTTATAACTTTGACTCAAACAAGTAATTTATGTAACCAAAATGTTTACATCCTCATAAAACTCTGAAATAAAAATAAAAGATGACATAGTGAATCCCTTTGTTTAGTGAAACTCACCTGTCTCACTGGTACAGAAAATAACAGATTATCTTTAGTTTAAATAATAAGTAACTTCAATTGCAGCAGCAGTTCCAGATGTGGTTTCTTTCCTGGGTCACACCCATATAATTCTAGAAGCTAGCATAATCTGGAAATTTGGAGGTTTTACATCTATTTATCTATCTATATATGCACACACATGCACATATATATATATATATATATATATGTAATTTTATCTGGCATGAACAGGACATCTTCGATGTCTTGCCAAAGAGATATGCTCTCTCTGATTATACATGCTATAATTTAGTTTACAGGAACTTAATCTTACTAGCCCTCATAATACCATGCTTGCCCACTATCTTCACAAAATTAGACTGGTAGTGCTAGGAGAGTAGGAGTTTCTTGGTACTTTACTAGAAGATAGTAAAATGCACAAAGAGGAAATCCTGCCATGTTGGTTAAGTGTCCTTGGTGAAGACCCGTATGTTCACAGCATCATCAAGATACTCTCTACAAAATGGCAGAGCAATAGCTGTACTTTGCATTCCCTACCACTAGGTAGGGATATAGTATTTGGTGAATCTGTCTGCATTTAGAGGCAACAAACAAATTTATTCACTGTGTGACCCAAAAGGCTAGCTACCTTGAGTAGGGCCCAAAGGAAAGAAGACCTGTCATGTAGCCCTTAAGATTCAGTGGAACCAGTGAATCATGAAATGTCTGTGGGATGCTATATGGAGCCAGAAGCAAGCTCTAATAAAGAAACTGCAGTGGAGACTCCCCAGGGGAGACATGTTTTAGCCTCTGCCAAACATACCACAGATTTGAATGTGAAGTTAATGACACCCAAAACTAGGAATGTTACAGAATTTATTCTGAAGATGAGAGTAGATATGATGATGGCAATTCTGCACCATCTCCACTGGCAACAGGAATCAAGCAGCTTTATTCAGGGCCAAGTGTCTGTTGTCACTATTTTAGTTAAAGCTCAGTCCTAGTCATGCTGGCAGCAACAACAGAGGAGTTTTCCTTCTGATCAGTTATGCAGCATTATTCTGGAAGAGTTTTTTCTTTTTCCTGGTTGTGTGGGCTTTCTTTGGTCATTCTGAAGAGCATATGAAGTATCCAATGGTTTTATCACAAATCATTTTCTGCTTCATTGTCCAGTGTTGATTTCTTTTGCTTGCAACTTAGAACACCAACTGATCATAAGCAATATCTTTAAAATCTTATTGAGAACATGCTGGAAGTAAGAGGTGGCTTACAGTATCCTAGTGTGCATTTTAGGTGGAAAAGCACTCTGAACAAACTGGTACTGTTGAAAAGATTAATGGGTTGATAGATTTGAAACTATAGAGTTTGAGCAACTCTAAACTAAGGATTTCTCATAAGATTATAAACAATTAGTTTTATAAGGTGAAATCAATAGTGGTAAACTGCTAATCTCCCTAAATACAATCTAAGTCCTTCTTTACACACATAAAGTAGAGGTTTGGCTTTTATTTTTTATGTTTTTAAATCATGTGTCTCCCTTGTGTAGAAACACACAGTGACTCTCTAATGAAATATTTGTAGTTTATTAGACGTTTTAACACTTCATTTTTCTTGATTTGGTTTCATGACATTTCCTGCACACATTTTTTAAACGTGTCCAATAAAAATAATATTGTTTTCAGAATTTTCCAACACTTTTTAATGTTTAAAAACAGAACTAGAAAAACCTGGTCTTTCATCAAGTGGTCCTTTATCGCTTAACCATTTAATTCTTAGTTAAGTTTACTCACACCAGACCTTAGCCCAGGGGTCCTCAAACTTTTTAAATAGGGGGCCAGTTCACTGTCCCTCGGACGGTTGGAGGGCCGGATTATAGTTTAAAAAAAAACTATTAACAAATTCCTATGCACACTGCACATATCTTATTTTGAAGTAAAAAAACAAATGGGCAAAAGCACCCTCATCTGATCTGCAGGCCGTAGTTTGAGGATGCCTGCCTTAGCCAATTAAATATGTTTAACATCACTTGGTTACAGATGTACATGTTTCTCAATTACCTTGTTACATACCATTGCACTCATAAAAGAGTTGTTTCTTTTCCACTTTCTAAAATATATTCTTTGTTGATTTCAAAACTTGAATTAAATATATTTTTCTAAATACATACCACTTTAACTAGGAACACTTTTCCTCAGGACTATTGCCATCCTGCAGTCATCTGTGCTGTAAAGAAAAAAGCACAGAGTCAAAATTATATGTTCTTAATTTTATTTACTCTTTATTTGTCCATCCAACTGATATTTGTTGAGGGCATTCTGAATGCTACCACTTTTCCAAGTGCTAGAGATGTGAAGATGAGTACCTTACTTCAAGGTGTGGATCCAATAGAGCAAGGAATTCCCAACCTTTACCAGGTATTAATTTTTAAACCTTAGAAAGCCATTTTGTTTTTCTGAATTTTCTTTTCTTTTTATGTGAAAAAAAAAAAAAGAAAGGAGAGTTTATAGGGTTATCACTGCCCAGAGATTGTAAATTTAGAGGGGCATATTGACAGATTAAAGTGGGACTTGGAGTTGACCATGCTATTCCATTAGCATCTATTGATTTACATTAGGAATCGATATGGTATATCAGATAAAGAATATGGGCTGGGGAGTTTGAATACCTAGGTTTGAGTTTCAGCCCCTTCACTTACTAGCCAGATTGACATGGTCATGTTTTTTAATCTCTCTGTGCATTCATTACACCCTCAAATCACCGAGCTCTGTGCCTGGTACTCAGTTCACCCTCAATAATAAAGCAAATGAGGATGTTAGATTTTTCTTATCTGGAAAAAGAAGGATGAGTATTTTTCCTGGGTCAGGGGTTTAGGGAAAGGCAAGAAGGCAAGGAGGTAAGGGTGGAGGAGCATAAATAAGGATAAAATTCTTACATGTTCTTATCAAAAGAATTTTAGCCATGATATTTAGAGGGGTGGGCCAGAAGGTAGAGTAGATTAAGGACCTCATTGTAGACTCTAAATAAAGGCAGTGCTGGCTTGTTGTCCAGGTAAGAAATCATGGCCCAAGGCTGGAGAAAGAGCCACTTTCCTTCCTTCTTTATGAACTCAGAACCAATTTGGTCATATTTAAAAAGGCAGATTGAGATGACTGGCATATGTTTGTTCAGATACCCCAAGCCTCACAAGAAACACCTTCGTTAGAACAAATACTGTCAGTTTTTTTAAGAGACTGTGTGAGCAGCAAGAGTTGAGGAATAGGAGCCGGGTCAGAAGTGGAAGATCACAAAGACACATGTCACGTCATGACTGTGGCTGACAGACTGGATTGCAGTTGAGGCAATTTTGGGGGAACTTCCCAAAATAATTGGAGTAGATGTTGTCAATGGAATTAAGACATTACATGAGTAAATGGTTGAAAGATGAGGAATTTGTGCTTGTTGGAATGAATATGATTTCATTTGTATTACATTTGTACACATTAATATGATTTCATTCCTACATGGTATCTATATAAAAGAAGGAGTATTTATACTATACAGTGTTATACTGCTGTATGTTATAATAGTTACTATATATGCTCATGTCTATATTATCTTTAACATATTGCTAATTCTTTCTTACATACATTCCTAATTATTTTGCAAACCCCTTAGTTATTCTCTTTTTTGAGAAGGATAAATTAAAGAGTGTGTTTTAAGTCCCTGCTACAGTGCTTAAAACTGCTAGATTTACAATACTCAATAAATATTAATTGATTTATCTCTGAAAAAAGTAAGGCAATTTATAAAGATACCTGTGGAACTACAAGATTAAAAATAATAAGTGGAGAAGTTCAAGGTACAAAAGAAAACACAAGTAAGAAATTTAAATTTAAATAAAGATTGTACTCCAAATGTCTTATGTGTTTCCTAGAGGTATGTTATAAATTTACTTTTATACTTCATGGTAGCTAAGACAAAATTGAAATTTTGATCATTTATATGAGTCCACATTACATTATACATTACCCATAAAATAAAAACTAATTTCCCTGAAGACAGTCCTTCTACTGAAGCCTGAGAGGAATTTCTTTCATAAAGACAAGACCATCTTAACTAGTGAGCAAAAGCCATGTCACAAGTATGATGATGACATCCTTATGGATGCTTATTCTAAATTTCAATGTAGGCTGAGGAGTAATAGGAAAGCCAAGGTTAGGAAACGCTAATCTTTGAGGGACCAAACAATGTGCTGCATGTATTTCAACTCCCTGAAGGTCTTCTTTCATCCCAAAATAACATTTAGAATATCTAGAGCAGTCAGGCAATCTTTAGAAATATCATAGTTTATAGTTATGACTATTAGATGTTTTCAGCAAAAGTTTCAGGTTACATTCCCTGTAATTCCCTGAAGAGTTGATGAAATTATTTAGTAGACTCCAATAAAAGAACAACACTATCATCAATATTAATGTCAATGTTGTCTTAGTTATTAGAATTCTTTTTATTAGGGTTGTGTTAGGCAGGTCTCTAAGATGATCCTATAATTCCTACCCCCAATCACCCATGCCCTTGAGTGATCTCCTCCCTTTGAATGTGGGCAAGGCACACAAATCCATTGACTATCATTCCTGTGATTAGATTATGTTAAGTAAAGGTGAAAGGATTTGCAAATGTAATTATTTCTGGAAGCAGGTAATGTTGATATAATTGAAAGGATGATTATCCCGTGTGTGTCTCACATAATCAGAAAAGCTCTATTTGAAAGACTTGCAGCAGCTGCTGTAAACACTCTCCTTGGATTTGAAGAAGCAATCTGCAGTGCTGTGAAAATAGCTATGTATCTTGGACGTAGATGTGGGGTATAGGAGATGAGAGCAACTGCTGGTCAACAGCCAACAACAACAATAACAAAATAAAATTGGGATCCGAGTTTTAGATCTACAAGTATCAGGATTCTGTCACCAACTTGAAGGAGCTTGGAAATAGATTCTTTCCTAGTCAAAATTGCAAGCAAGAACACAGGCCATTCATTAAATTCAGCTTTGTAATACCTGAGCAAAGAACACAGTTGAGCCATGGCCAGACTTTTAGCTTACAGAATTCTGAGATAATAAATGGGTGCTCTTTTGTGGTCATTTGTTACACAGCAATAGAAAATGAATACAAGGGTATTTAAATCAATATGATTACTAAACAGTAATTCTGTGCTCAGTCCTATATAAAAGAATAGAAAGCTTGTTGCCAAATTTATTTAGATACATTACTACATTACTAATCAAAACTTGATATAGATTATAAGTAATAAACTAACAGAGGAGTCAATGATTATTCAACAGTTATGTTTTGAAATTTTAAAATATTTCCTTGCAATAAATTGGGATATATGTCAATATATGGGATATATGGGATTATATGTCAATATATATATATGTCAATGATATAAAGGATATATGTCAATGATAAAATATTTCAGATGCTTTCAGGCTTTGAAAATTAAAACAAAACAGCAATGAATTCTAAGGTATCTGTTTAGATACTGTGGGTTTTTAGCATTTGCTATCTCTAGTAACTTCTTGGAAAGAGTGAAACATTGATTGAAAAAAAGAATGAGGAGTTATTAGAGGTCAACCAAACATTTGAAGAAAACTTTGACCTGATTTAGCATATAGGTAAAGCATAATATGTTGCATTCAGAATATTTACATGCATGCAATGAGTATATATGGTAATAACAGCATGAACATTTTGAAGGACTTTTGAGGGAAGAATAGCCAGGAAGAATGAAGATAATTAAGGAGCAATTCTCTAAAATATCTCAGGGTTATTTAAAAAGGTAGTCGTGGGTGAGGGGGTTTTACAGCAGTATTGCTTAATGCAAAAACCAGACAGACTCAACCAGTTGTTTAGTAAATGTTGATAAGAATGAGACTTTTATTCATAATGGTTAATTAGTACCTAATTAAGTCAGTTAGGAGCACCTATTGACCCTAGAACTCCCTATAGCCTTTGTATAACCTCTTGCCTGCTTCTAGGGAGTATACAGCTTTGCTCTATGTAAGCGGTCAAATGTTAATGGCTATATGCATTGATGAGTAATGCTTCATATAATAAGAAGGCTGCTTGGAGTGCATACAAACACAAAACAAACCCTTTGGTCTCAGGGAGTCTGAAAGTACGATTATGAGCAGTTACTCCTACTAACAATAAAAATCCTCTAATGGGAGCCCTGCTGTAGCCCCCTTGAGCTAGACGGGCTACTTATGGCTTTGGGGTTTACTCCACTCTGACGGCTAATATAAACAATCTAATGTAGTTATGGAAAGAAAGAAAATTCAGAAGAGAGGCTTACTATTATATAAAGGTTATCAAACCTAAAAAAGAGAAAGAAAGGAAAGATGGAGTAGGGGAGAAAGAATATTTTCTATCAGCCTTCTAGATACAACAAATCCATTTAACAAGACAATTAGAATGTCATGACCATGTATTTTCTGCTAAAAAGAAATCAAACCTATATTATCTTTTTAACAATTAATTGGTCTAAGGCTTCCATTGTGCAACAATTGGCAGCTTAACTGCCTATTTTCACAAAACCAATACTTACATGTTAATATTTTTAAGCAATTATTATTTTTAGCCTAGAAAGGATAGATCGAATTTGTAAGAGCTAATACCTTTTAACATGTTATTTTTACATTAATTTCTCATTTTTCCCTTTCAAAAATCTTATGAGGTAAATAAGGCTAGAATCATTACTTTTATTTGAAAGAGGAAAATTAATGACTGACATGGTTCATGGTCTTCGCTGAGGTGGTATGGCAAAGCTGCTGGGAGAAGCCATGTTTACTCTCAAAGTAGTGCTCTGTCACATAACTACATTTTCTTGAAAAAAAAAAGAGAATAAAATATTATTATGGTCAAGAGAGAACCATCTCTCAGGAATATTATTAATTTCATTTCTAACTTTAATGATTTTATTGTAGTGTTGGAGATAAAGCAATTTAGCTTTGTTAGGAAAAGTAGGGGAAAAATTACAGGGCTGTAAAAGCCATTCTGTAATTAAGTTAACAGTCATAGATTTCTAATTTACTCTCCACTTTTTTCCAACCACAGTTAACTCTTGAGGGTACTGTGTTCTGGTGAATCAAATAGCTTCTTTAATATAGAGTGCTTATTTGACAAAAAGAATGATAATACTGTGAAATACACTAAAACAAAAATAGCATAATTGATTTTGATATTGCAGATTTGGGATATTTATATTTGATTATTTGTGAGTGAGCTTAAAGATTTAATATGAATTACATTAGGCACTCCTTTGTATAATCTGCATTGATAACTCCATAAATAGGACATTGTGTGTCATGCCATATTCCACTGAATTATTTTTGATGATATAAAATCGTTTTAAGTATCTGTATCTTAAGACTCTGGTTATAAATACATTTTCATAGTGCTGCAGATGTGTTGAGGCATTGGGTAATAATACAAATGCCAAATAAACAAGTTTTTTTCTCTTTCAGGGAGAAACAAACAGCATTTTAAATGTTAGTATAAATCAAATTTTGCACTTTGTAGTATGTTTTTAAAAAAACTTTACCATGTGCATTTTTTCTAGGTCACCAATGACGTGTGTGTGAGTGTATGTGTGTGTGTATTTGCAAATCCCAGGGGCCTTTTCTTTGTTCTCCTTCACTTTGATGATTCTGTAGCATTTGAAATTGGTGACCCCACCCTTCCTGAACTGCCTTCCTCCATTGGCTTCTGTGAAATGACGTCCTGGTTGGCATTCTGCTTCCATGAATAATTCTTCTTTGTTTCCTTCACTGGCTCCTATTCTTTAACCACTGACACTTCCAAGTTCCAGTTTTTGGCTGTAAGTCCTGTTTTCTACATACTTCCTTTTCAATTGTGTTGATGATTTTCAAATCTGCATTTCCAGATAATTCTCATCTAAGCATTGACTCCATATATATATATATATATACCTCCTGATATTTTAACATGGATTCCTTGATGTATCTGCAAACTCAGCATGTTCAAAGGTAAACTCATGAACTTTTGCACCTCATATCGCTCTATCAGTTCTTTTGCTTATCTGGGCCTGAAGGTCAGAAGTTATTCTTAATTCATATCTTTGACAAATGTAATGGTAAATAGTCAAAGTAAGTCAACAGTTATTAGAATTTTTAATCCAATTTTACTTCCAGCTATAATAAAATTAGAGGAATTCCCTCTTGCAAAATCAGTGCCAACCTGATCTTTTTATTTATTTATTTTATTTCAGAATATTACGGGGGTACAAATGTACATTTGTACATTAGGTCTTGACGTACCACTTTGGTAAAGTCTCTTGTCTGCTCTGAAACCTGTGATGCACTCTATTTCTTAGCAAAATAAGTTTAGGCTCCTCAGCCTGTGTTTAAGGCTTTCATTAACCTGTCCTATTCTGCCTATCCTATCTGCTTCCCTCTATTATTTTACGTACACCTTTCTCTTCCATCAGGAAAGACATTTCGTTAACCAGTGAACACACCACACTCATTCTGAATCTTCTGTCATCACCTTGATGTTTGACTTGCCTGTTGTCTTTCTTCATTCTCTTCACCTGTGAATGCCCCACCCATGTTACAAGTTCTAGTTCCAGAATCACTCCTTATGACAGTAGTCCTTCATAAATATTTCCTCTGCATTTATTCACCATTTAATCAGATGCAGAGGATAGATATACTCTATAAAATACCACTGAATCATGTCATTTCATATATTTCAGATTTGAAGTCTCCTTAGGCAGGAGACATGTTTAGTAAATAGAACGTTAGACCCTGGCTGTCAGATTAATATTCGAAAAATAGGTGGTCAATAATTAATAGTTGATCGAGAACTCAGTTTTCTAATCATTCACATTATTTCAATATCCCACCTGGTTATTTGGAAAAATAAAGTGGTATCTCAAAGCTTTAAGGATAAAGACAATTACACTCTCTTCTTTAGTTAAGAACATAGTTTTCCAGTTCACCTTTGGGAAAAGAGACTAAAAAATACTTGATTTTTTTTTAATTAAGGAAAATCATTTCACAAGTCTGGCCCTAAGTTTATCCTACTTTATTAACAGGAAACACCTGAAACTAATTGCTTTCTGGCCTACAGAATCCTGCTTTTTAAAACTTTCATCCTTTACATTTAAATACAGACATAGCTTTGATAAATATTGCAATCACTTATGTTTAGAAAATATTACATTCTTTGTTTCTACGGCAGGCTGAAATTCTTTAATTAAAGGTGATTTTATTTTGAAATTTCAAGATGGTATGAATTAAATTCTACAGTACTTAGGGGAGAAGGAAAATATTTCAAGTGCTGCTCTGGGTGTTCTAAAAGCCATGCAAAGACTGCCAAGTGTAATTTTAACATATTTATTATCCTGAAGCTTCTTTTGTGGATTTGCCAGAGTAAATTTTTACTTTGGGGCCATAACTGAGTAATTTATGTTCTTTCAGATTTTTGATATTAAAGTTATTTAATCTTTTAGATTCTTGCTGCCTATTATTACAGGGTTTGGGGTGGGGTGGTTGGAGGAGCTGGGGCAGGTTTGGAGAAAAAAAGTAAGCCAGGTATGATGGGAGCAAGCCCCTAGCTCTCTCATAAACTAGAATAGCACTTCTCACAGAATCTAGTGCTTGAATACCGCATGACACATGATCTGCAGGCTGTTACCTTACATTATTGGAAGATCAAGTTACTGCTCAACGGAAGGGCAGCATTTTGGGCAGCACTTTATTGCACTTGTCAGGATTTCCACTTTACACTTGGCAAGAATATATTCTAGACATACTCACCAGAGTTTCCTGAAATATTTGGTAGTGAGACATTTGAGTGGGAAGAGGGTGGGAGAAATATGAACCTCACTTTGTAGAAGCCGTTTGCTAGGTCTGATGTAGAGAAACGCTCCATTAGGAAAGTGACTTGAGAATTAATTACACTAATACTAAACAAATACATAATACTAAAACAACTGAAATAATGATACAGCTAAAGTCTATTTTGAGAACATTGTTTTCAATTCTAGTACCATTTCTTCATCTTCAGGGATATTGTTATCAATTTTGTGTGTAAGTTTTTTCAGTTCGTTTATGTGCACATATATGACCTTACAGAAAATATCACATTGTTTTATCATTATATTTTCTAATAGCTTTATTGGAATACAACTCATAACATCAAATTCACTCATTTAAAGTATGCGATTCAATGATTTTTAGTATATTCACAGACTTGTGAGTCTATCACCACAACCAATATTAGAGTAGTACTCTGATCCCATTAGGCGCTATTTTTCAAATCCCACCCACTCTCATTCCCCTAGAGTGATATTAAGCAAATATCAACATACTTTCAGTCTTTATATATCTACCTATTCTGGATATTTCATGTAAATTGAATCATTCAATATGTGCTCTCTTGTGATTGGCTTCTTTTATTTAGCATAATTTTAAAGATTCATCTGTGCTGTAGCATGCCTCTTATTTTATTTTATTTTTATTATTTTATTTTGTTTTATTTTTTGAGACAGAGTCTCCCTCTGTCACCTCGGGTAGAATGCAGTAGCATCACAGCTCGCTGCAACCTCAAACTCCTGGGCTCCAGTGATCCTCCTGCCTCGGCCTCGAAAGTAGCTGGGACTAAAGGTGCGTGCCACCATGCCAGGCTAATTTTTCTATTTTTAGTAGAGATGGGGTCTCGCTTTTATTCAGGCTGGTCTCTAACTCCTGAGCTCAAGCAATCCTCCCTGCTTAGCCTCCCAGAGTCCTAGGATTACAGGCCAGAGCCACCTTGCCTGGCCCATCATTTTTTTTTTCATTGTATTACTAAATTAATTTAAGCCCTTTAACACTTCTCTTGTGCCTTTGTCATCAATAAATACCGAAACTAGTATACTTGTCTACAGTATGTTCCCCCTTTAATCCTTCTTCCTCTTTTTTCAATGGAGTCTTCTTCAGAAATAAGAAATCTGAGTTTGCTTCATTTTTCAGTGGCATCTACCTGTTTTCAGCCCAAACTACACTGGGCTTGGTCATGTGGTTCATAATCTGGTCCATGCCTTGCTCCCCCGCCTCTTTCCAAACACTGTTTCTTCAGATGGAATGTTTCAGCATGCCAAACTTTGTAGTTCCAGTTCCTTGAGATGGTTTATTAGTTTGTTGCTTTTTGAGCTTTCTGGTTTTGGGACATGAGCATTTAATGCTATTAGTTTTCCTCTCAGGAATGCCTTTTGCTGTATCCCACAGATTTTGATAACTTGTGTCCCCGTTATCTAGTTCAAAGAATCTTTTGATTTTCCTCTGTATCTCCTCCTTGACCCAGTAGTCACTCAGCAATAGTGTTTAATTTCCATGACTTTGTGAAGTGGTAAGTGTTTCTGTTGGAATTGAACTCTAATTTTATACCACTGTGGTCTGAGAAGACACACGGTATAATTTATATTTTTTAAAATTTGTTGAGGTCTGATTTGTGGCCTAGGATCTGATTGATTTTGGAGAAAGTTTCATGGGCTGATGAGAAGAATGTATATTTGGCTTTATTTGGCTGGAATGTTCTGTAGATGTCTGTTAGACACTTTTGTTCTAGAACTCTGTTTAAGTCTATTATTTCTTTGCTTATTTTCTGCTTGGAAGATCTGTCCTGTTCAGTTATTGGTGTATTGAAATCCATGGCTACTATGGCATTACTGCTTATTATGCTATTTAGATTGAACAGGTTTGCTTTATGTATCTGGGTGCTCCTGAATTGGATGCATAAATATTAAGGATTGTTAAGCCTTCTTGTTGGATTTTTCCTTTCACCATTATATAGTGACCATCTTTGTCCTTCCTTACTTTTGCTATTTTAAAGCTTATGTTATCTGAAGTAAGTATAGCTACTCCCATTTTTTTTTTTTTTTTTGGTTTCTATTTGCCTGGAAGTTTATTTTCCAACCCTTGACCTTGAGTCTGAAAGCATCTTTGTGTTTCCTATAGACAGCAGATACTTGGCTTATGATTTTTTTATCCACTCTGCTAGTCTATGTCTCTTCAGAGGACAATTCAAGCCATTCACATTATTGAGAGAATTGATATTTGGGGTAGATTTCTGTTCATATTGTTGGATAAATTTTTATTGTTTTACCTCTTGAGCCATTGTGGAATCCAGGTTCTGGACTTTAACTCCTGAGTTATTTTACTTTGGTGAGTGTCTATTACACTGTTCAGCGTATAATGGAGGTCTGAGTACTTCCTGTAGCACAGGTCTTCACAAATTTCATCAGTGATTGCTGGCACATCCTGATCATTTTGGAGCATTTTATTATTTTTTGGCAAAATGTTTCAAAGTCATAGTGAACATTCTCTGCTGTAGCCCTGGTGCAACCATTATTCCAAGGAGCTCTGGCTGCTTTTATTGGAGGATGGTGAAATGATATTTGGATTATTTGACTTATTATTCCTGTGCTGTAAAAGTTCTCCACATATTGTGGATGTAAGAAACATTTTGGAAGTATATATGACAAATAATTTCTCCTAGTCTGTTGATTGTCTTTCTATTTTCTTATTGATATATTTGAAGAGCACAAAATTTTATAAAATTTATCATTTTTCTTTCTTTCTTCTTCTTCTTCTTCTTTTTTTTTTCTGTTGGTGTTTTTTTGTAGTCCTGTGTTTGAGATCTCTGTGTACCCAAAGATCAGAAGATTGTATCCTATGTTTTCTTCTGAGTTTTTTTTTTTTCCAGGATATTATGAAGGTACAAACATTTTGGTTACAAGGTCTGACTTTGCCTTGCCCAAGCCAGGGCTAGAGGCATGCTCTTCCCCCATACAATGCTGACCACATCCATTAGTTGTGAGTGTACCCACGCCCACCCCCCAAACCCAATGATATTACTACCATGTGAGCACCTTAGTGTTGATCAGTTAATACCAATTGGTAGAATCAATATTGTTAAAATGTCCATTCTTCTGAGTTTTATAGAATCAGATTTTACATTGTGGCCTATGATTCACTACAAAATATTTTTGTTTGTTGTGTGAGGTAGGGGTAGAGGTCATATTTTATTATATGGCTATTCAGTTGGTCAAACATCTTAGTTCTAAAAGTTCATACTCTTATTTTACTCCACTTCCACAACACAACTTGCTTCTCCCTTTCATGTCTCTAGACTGATTTTATTTATATGAGAAAGATAAGCATTTTCCTCAGCTTTTTTTATTCTATCCAATATGGAATACTTTTGACCTCTTTCTCATGAGCTTGACTTCCTCATTTCCAAATGCTTTCCTAGATTTTGTATTTTGCTATCCATTAAACTCCACAGATTTTCCTGTCTGTCCACTTCAATTTCAACTGTATTCTACCTTTATGGCTTACACATCTCAGATAGTTCTGATTCTCTTTCTTGACTGTACCCCTTGTTAACTTTTCTTACTTTTCCATATTTTCTTCTTTCCACATTATTATGTAGATTTTCTGGTTATGGATGGATACTTATAGTTATCTCTGAGTTACCAGTTCCTTTAGCCCAACTGGTACTA